CTGCAGAAACGGCTGGAATGGACCCTCTGTCCCGTACATCCATTTCACCCCTTAGTACAGCTGTATCAGTTTTAGTGATCTCCATATCCTCAGCAGAACTAAAAATAACTGTTCTGCTCTCTGAAACAGCGTCCTGTCCAGCCTGCTTAGCCAGGTTTAATCTGTCCTCACGCAAGGCTCTCTCAGTAATTTCACCAGCAGAGCAAGACTCGGTCATTTCCATGTCAGCCTGGGAACTGGTAAACACAACTGTGGCAGTTAAAGGCGCAGACTGATTGGGCCGCCTGCCTTGCAGAGAATGTTCCTCCAAAGCTACGTTACGGGTTTGAGTGATTTCCATATCATCCATAGCAAACATAGTAGCTTCGCTATTCAAAAGTGCTTGCTGTCCAGCCTCCTTATCCGAGTTCAGTTTGTCATCACATACAGCTTTTACGGTAGCTTTATCAGCGGTGCAAGGCTCAGCAACGTCCATGTCAGCCCGGCTACTTGCGAACAGAACAGTTTTAACAGGATGAGCTGAAGAGATGAAATGAAGCCCTCCCTCATTTTGTGAGCCAATTTCATGGCCTATTGCAGCCGTATGGCTCTCTGTGATCTCCATGTCATTATTCTCATCGTTCAGTGAAAATAAAACAGTCTTTTTCCCTGCTGTTCCCTTCAAGCTTTTCCTTCCAGTCCTTTTATCCACTTTAAGCATCCCTTGAGATGCAGCCTTTCCTAGAGATTTGTCAGCTGCAGTAGTATCGAGTCCACTTATTTCCATGTCATCATTGTAGGTAAAAACACAAGTTTTATCTCCAGAAATAAAGGATATGTCATCATTTGAACTTTTACACTGCAAAATTATTTTGTTTGCTGAAACTGTATGACTTCTGGTGAGGTCCATATCAGCATCTTCTGAAAATATGGTCGTTTTCTCACCTGCAAAAGGCAAATGCCTTACACCAGTCATGCTTAACATTTTCTGTCCAGATACCAAGGAGTACACATCACATGCAGGATGCTCCTGACTATTTAATGTCCTCATGACTCCTTGTCTTAAGGACATTACTTTATTTTCATCTTGAACAAGGTATCCAGGTACTGCTGTTCTTTCTGATAAAACAGGATTGATGTGATCAGGAACGGTTACCGCATAGTTTCCGGTCAAGTCCATGTTTTCACCAGATGGAAACACAACAGACTTTTCTGAAAATGGAGGCAGCTGGCCACTTCCCTGATGTGGTTCCGTCGCATTGGCTAGTAACGGCCCTTCAGCACCCCTCACGCCTAGGCCATCCACTGAGTGAGGGTTTTTACAGTCCTCTTCTGAAGAAACTGTTTGACCAATTGAAAAATCTCTCTCAGAAGTTACACGAGGTGGCAATACTTTCCTTACTGCCTTCACAGTATGGGTTTTCTCTTGCCTGTCTGAGTTCTGGCAATCTGCATTTACTCCTAATGTTGTTCTGAGCTGTTCATTTCCCTTCATTCCAGAGGGAGCGGGCTGATGACTGGAAATAAATGAACCATTTGGAGCCAAAGGGGTAACAGCTTGCTTATTTGTGTTCATTTTCGAATCCCCGCATTCTGTTGCTGCAGTCTGACTTGTGACATCTGCACCAGACCTACCTGAAAACTGGAAGGTCTGGTTTTGCAGCTGCTTTGACATTACATTATTGTGATTATGATTACTCTCGCATTCTTGTGCTGTATTAATAGGAGCAACATCAAAGGCAGCAGGGTGAGTTTTGGTTACGTCCATGTTTTGATCATCGGAAAACATGCCCATTTTGTCATTTGTGCAGGAAACTGAAGCGTTTAGCAGGTTTTTTTCCAAAGGCTGGGATATAACAACTCTCTGACTTTGCAAAGACATGACTGCACAGGTGTCAGTGACAATATTCTCAGGGGCTTCTCTCTTTTGTTCTTGTAAGGAACACATGCTCTTTGCACAGAAACTTGGACCGCTTGCCTGAAAGTTTGTTTTTACAAGCATCTTATCAACCATTCTTATTTCAAGATCTTGAGCATTCATTTCTATAGCCTGGTTTCTTTTAATATTCCCATTGATACTGATCACCTCAAGATTTTCCTTGTCCATATCTAAAGAATTTGTACCTTCACTGACATTTTTGTTCCGGTTCTTTCTTGGAATTATTTTACAATGCATCTGTTTTGCTTCTGCAGTCATTCCATTGCTTTGATCATCAATGACAACGGCATGGCATTTAGTTATTTCCATTTCTTCCTGTTCATTTAAATTGGGAGATGTAGATCTGTTGTCAAGAAAGTGAGGTTTGCAAGTGACAGAGGTGAACATTCCAGCAGGAGACTCATTTTCAGCATTCTTTCCACCATCCTTGACAGCACAGGTTTTAGTCAGGTCCATATCTTCTCCTGAGAATATTACTGTCTTCTCACCTGGCAGAGAAAGAAGTTGAGAGTTTGCTAGTCGGTGCTGAAGGCTACCCTTAGACGCATCAGTGGACACTGAATTTGTACATGAATCAAAGCCAATGTTCACTGAAGTAGTCCCGTGATCTGGAGTCACTTTTTCGATTCGTTCATCTGAGCCCGAAGACAGTTCAAGTGCACTATTTCTGTGTGATACAGAAGCTCGGTTATCTGAAGATGTTAGACTCTTTGTAACATCCTTGTCACCATCTGCTGGACATCTGCTTTCTGCTAGTGAAGCGTTTGTGTTAACTGGCTTTTCAAAAGTTTTATGATGCGAATGGTTCATTTCTTTGGTACTCTCATTATAGATTACATCCGTATAATTCCCAGTAATTTCCATGTCATCACATTTAGAAAAAACAAAAGTTTTTTCACCTCGGAAGACCGTCTCAGAAGAAATAGCTCCTGGGATGGCAGACATTCTTCTGGTCTCTTGTTTAACACTTTGCAGTGCTGTAGGATCACGTCTGTCTTCAACATTTACTGTTTTCTTGTCTGTACAAAGTTGAGGGTCCTGCTGAACAATTAAGTGCTGATTAGATGCTCTGTTTAACACAGAATTATCTGACTCTGTGGATGGGAAATCCTTTCTGAAGTTTAGACATTGATTCCCGACACTGGAGAAGGGAAAAGACACTTTAGCGGTGTGACTAATTGTCATATCCATTCCATCGTCTACGAATGCCTCAGTAACATCCGCACACAGTAATTGCTCTGGTGGAGCTTCACAAATGCCAGAAAACGTCGCTTTAACATCAGATGCCTGGCATTTTGTCATTTCCATTCCATCTTCTGGCCCTTTAAAGACTTTTGTTACATTGCAGGTGTCCAGTGGTTCATGGGAATATACAGATTCTACCGACGATTGTGGCACGTCTTTTGAGACTTGTGAAGGGACAAAAAAAACATTCTCTGCTTCAGATCCCTCAGCAGGATTGAGTGCCTTTTTGTTTGACTTCAAGCTCATCAAAAATTCATTGAAATTTATTTTTTTTACAGCAGTAGCATCTTCCTTCTGTTCAAAAGACGGGCATGAATGGTTATTAGGGTCAGCGAAAAAATGAAATTCTTTGCTCATTTCTGCTTTTTCATTGTTAGAGTTTAACCCAGCCAGAAACGACATGGTATCTATCTTCTCAGTTTGGTCAGCTTGATTGTCTTTCAGGTTACGTGCAATCACTGCGGTGTGACTAGCTGTCATATCCATTTCATTTTCATCTGAGAAGATGAGGGTGGCGTCATGCCTATTTGTTCTTTGAATGGCGTTGTCTGCATCATGCCACTGAAAAAAAAGGGGGGGGGGGCAAGAAAATGCAGTTACTGACACTTAAAACAAATGATACATTGCATTATTCTATTTAAAACAGCAGTCAGCTAATGCAGTCCTAGGGTTATAGGTTATAACTTTACATCTTCTTTTTTTGGGGAAAAAAAAAATTATATCAGTCCTACTCGACAAGTCCTACTCCTGTATGATACACATTCAAGGAAAGCACAATGACTTAATTATTAGAGCATATCAGATTTAAATAGCTTTTTTTGAAAGCATGCGTCTCAGTTTTACTGTTGGGCAAAGGCTTCCTATCTAGACGTATCTTAGTAAGTATTGAACAATTACTGAATCTTCTGGATAAGTTGGAAGTTTTAAAAGACTTTTCCCACCACTGACTAGGGAGGTTTTTAATCTCTTTAACAGAGAGGATTTACACAGTTTTAAAGCTGTGGGAGAAAATGGGCCAGTAACAAGATATAACACTATATTTTATCAAATTTATTGAATATATTGATAAAGAACAGCTTCATGTTTACTTCAATTTACATATGCTATTTTATAAATGCAAGAAATAAAACACACTAGAAGAAGCACAACCCTATACATTACCCAAAAACAAGGAAGAGACAGAGTTTCAATCTGACCTTTATAGCTTCATGGTATTCATCTTCTCACCCACACCAGATTTTAACTGCTTTTTTGGTTGTTGGTTTGTTTTGGGTTTTTTTGTTAACATTCATTAACAAGAGCTAACATATGTTTTTAAGCCTTATCTTTAAACTCAACACAAAAGTCAGAAGCCATTGCAGTAAGGGAGACTGTTTCCACAATTGCTTTGTTTAACTGCACGGTGCCATAACATCATCACTGCAGTGCAACACAGTTCAGGATTCCTGGGCAACTGTGCCTGTGAAGGTCTTAGCTAAAAATTTTGTGTTTTATGACTTGATTCAGCTGAAGAATTTCAGTTCGTTTCTCATGCTAATCATTGCAATTTGTCTAAAGCTTTTTGACAGCAGGAACAGAGTGTGCATTTGTGCATATCCATTTGACCCACAGAAGAAAAAAAATACACAAGCAGAGAGTAATACATCAGAAAAAATACATAAGCAGACCTATCTGAAACATAAGCTCCTTTGCATATTCTTAGACAGGAATTGAAAAGAATGGAGGAACTAGCTCAGGTATTGTAAAGTTAGCAAGCAGTTCCAGAAGCAAGCTATCAATACTGCAGTATAATGCCCATCAGATTAGGAAAATATTTCAAAATATAGATGATTAGCTTTCAGAAGAATTTTATGTGAATACAAGGATTTATTTTTTAGGCACCTGAGTTACATTTTAAATCTTTATTACACAAGTTATCAGAATATATTTTGGACACGGATATTTTCAGCACCAAAAAAAATAAAAGCCTTCACATACCTCGGTCTGCTGCACCAATGCCTGGATAGGGGCGTGAAGCAAAGTGTTCATCCCTGTCGAAAGAAAAGGAAATACTCCATTTGTTGCACTATTTCCTTATTACATTATCCACTCAGCTGAAGATCTATGCGATCATTTTACAAATACCACTGAGTAAGCAAGTACAATTAAAACCAAACATATCCTGAAAAATATTTTCAGTACTCCCTCCAGCACGTGGAAGATCCTCCCTTATTTTTAGAATACAGTGCTTGTAAACAGCTCTATGGGACAAAGCCCGCTCACGCAACAGTTGCCTCAGTCAGAGACATTGTTCTAGGCATGCTAAAATTACTCAAACAGAATCAATAGTTTTGAATAAAGATACTCACCAGTGATCTCACACAGAACAGCTTCAGGTTCTTCATTTCTACAAAAGGTGGGTTAGGCAAACAGTTTGTTAAACGATTTCAAAACAGAAGGCTTCAGCAACATACTGCAAAGGCAGAGCATTCTGTTGCATAGCTCATACAGGACTGGGCAGCAGATACCAGACACTGCTCCTGTGTCTTCAATATATTCTAATTTGAGTTGCAAACTTATTTTCTCATGAGATTCTCTCACCTTAGCATGCCACAAGCTATTGTTCAACATACAGATGGCCTTTTAATTCCTCAGTGACAAGTAAGAAAAGAGAAAAGATTAATTCTTTATTTTTAACTCAGGCCTTCCACTTTCAGTTACTCCTTTCTCTCTGGGAAACTGAAGCTGTGTTCCTAAAGCCTGAAATCTTATCTCTGTAAAACAAGAAGCCAGATACAACCACCACCTTGTGTGGTTTTCCATCTAACTTTTACGGTATTCTGCTCTCCACTACTATTCTGCTGCATTTCTTTGAGGAGTAAGAATTTGATGGCTGCACGTCATGTGAAGAAATGTATTTGCAGGACAGAACTCTATAGTCATGGGAATCTTTTTCAAACTTACTGATTAAGCGGTACATCATTCCTCGCATCTGCTTCACACTCTACAAATCGTAAGAAAATTAGACGTTACAATGTGAGAAGCATAATCAAAACATTCAGAGACAAGAGTAAACTGCACAGAAAAGAGTGTTCCCAAGCTCTCATTCTTGACGTGCCTTCTTATCGTGGCAAAAACCCAGGGAAGCGAAATACGTGAAAATGCATTCGCTTTTCAGATTCTTCCTAGGTAATCTCTGACCGAGTGAATATGACATTCTGCTCAGCCTTCCTTTGACCTAAGTCCCCAAGGCAGATCTTGTTCTGGGTGCACTTTGTCTAAGAAAATAATTCCTTTTCTGAGCTACAAGATCCACAGTACCAGTAACTAAAGGGTTTTCAGCCAGTCCATGATAAACAGCTGACCATATTGTTCCTTACCTGTGACTGACAGGCCTGACTTCTTAAGTTCAGGCTAGTCTTGTTGCTAATCGTCTGCGTATCCTATCAGGAGAAGAGAAAGGAGTTTTACCTGTACCTTCTCTCTCTGCCCCGTTATTCTTCAGATCTCGCTGGAAGACTCTGCAGCTAAGAAAAAAAGAAAAGAAAACAAACCACCTGGTTTTTTAATAACACAAGACCATCTGTTTCAAAGCAAAGGTGGTGGTGGGGGGGTTAAAAAAAAAAAAAAGATCAACCCTGATTTCAATCTTTTCCACAGGGTATGTTCTGAAATGAGATATCAAAAGCCAGAAGCTTACTGAACCCAACCATATTTTCCAGTGGGATGATGTCATTATCACACTTAAGATGGAAGTCAGCAAAAAATTTTATGGGAAACAAAAATTCCCGATTATATGAAATTCACTGAACAGTTATTTTCTAGATAGGAAGAGAAAATGAATAATGTCTCTCTTAGGGCTCAAAATCAACTCAATAGAACAACAGACACCAGTTTGCCTTCACTGAATACTCACAAACATACACAAACAGCAATTTTAGGGGGTACCAGATTATCACCTATAACCTATGTTTTAGGGGATACCAGATTACTACCTATAGCCTGCATTTGATGCTTAAATAAAGGATGCAGATCTGCATCCTTCTGATCAAACTTACTTGATGGTGTTTGCAAAGCTGACACGGCGAGAGTTTTTCCTGCGTTTCTCTGTATTGATGTCCTGACAATAAAGAACACAACACTGATGTACAGAGAACTGTTCTCGTCCCATAGGCCACAATAAGCACAGCTTTTCATGAAACAAAAAACCACACACCCTGCAAAAAAGAATCTATGAGCCCAATAAGTGCAACAGATATTTACCAGCATGCTTAAACTACTTTCTGTTTCTCCAGCTTCTCCTGACACAGATACCCATCTCACAACCAGTAGGATCCAAAGATCACTTTGTGAGAACTGCCTGGTTTCAAACACAAGCAGCAGAATACCAGTTATAAGGATTTTTGCCTGGCGTATCGTCTGGCATACTAGGGAAAATATAAGTAGTTGCTTAGCAAGAGAGTTTCTGGATTTTTTTTCTTTAGTTTTCCATTACAAGAGCTGAAAAAAAAAATAGTAATACTGGTTTGTCTTTATGGGACAAAGCAAAGGATTCTTGAAAGGATCAAAGTCACCATTTTCTGTTAAAATGTTTAAATGGTGTCACTGACTACACGATCATACGAACGCAAAGTTACAAGGTATGCACCAATGCAGCATTACCTGCACTGGAAAGCTAATTCGTCATACCGCTGCCGGGCGGGTGTCTGCAGTAAGCTTCCCTAACTGAACAGCTCAGTCTCAGGACAGCGGAACGCTCGCCGTTTAAGAAAACACCAAGTGTTAACGTACCAGGCGCTACCAGTGATACGGACATGACTAACAAAGCCTGTAAAATACTTAAAATTTTAAAAAATCTTGTCAGCAACACAGGCAGTTACAAGTGACGTCACACTACTGTATATGATAGCCTTACATGGCTCGTTAGCAGTCCTGTCCGTCATTGTTCGTAGGTACTAAAGTTTAAATGAAGACTGTGAGCCGCCCTTCACACTCAATCCGGTTTCGAAATAGATGTGTTGTGCATAAATATTTCAGGCTCATATTTCCTATTCTAAAGAAATTACTAGAGGCTTTTTCACCGAAAGCCTTATACGCTAAAAATGAGTTTTCAAGTTCTGTAATCAGTGACAGATAAATCATATAAATACATGATGGAACCAGAGTATTAGTCCATAAAACACACCCCACGTAGAAATGGCATTTAAAAAGAAATCCAGACTGAGCAGGCCTACAGTTACAATTTCTAAGAAACAACAGACACTATAAACATGAAATATATTCTGCACGTATTTCTGGAAAAAAATGTTTGTTTTTTAGCATTCACTTTAAATTGGCAGGCTGGGTTTTCTTCAGATTTTACACCATCTCACTGACTATACCATTTGTACACTGGTGGATCAAACTTCAAGTCAAATGGACTACAGCAGGAGCAAGTTACGCCTATTAATCTCTGTTTACTCCTCTTCTCTTGCTAGAAGAAATATTCTGATGTAAAATGTAAGAAAAATTCGATGGATTTCTTATAATACTTAGTACTCCAAACATTATCCTCCTAAGCAGTCACCACAAGGGTCTTTACACCTGCATTATTCCAGTGACACAGTTTAATGAGCGACAGGTTGAGGAGCAAACCGAAGACGTCATGAGCATCAGCAAGAAAGGACTTCATAGACCTACCTGCGTCAATTCATTCCCATTTCCCAGATCATCAAGAGGATTTCGCGGAGCCTTTAAAATCTAAAAGAAAACAATAATTGAGAAAATCAGCTCCAACTACAAGAACTGATTACTTGGCTGGAGAGAGTTTATAAGAGCCACCAGTGCCCCAGTCAATCGTATCAATCCAATAGGCTCTTCCTTCGCTTTTGGAATGCTCTTCAACTGTGATGAGAAAACAGGTTCCTCTTGACAGCTTCCCCTTTCTTTCCTTCACTCACACACTCACTCACTCACAGGGTTTTCTTTCTGAGGAATGCCTTAAGTTACTCACAGAGGACAGTCGCTTCCCTCTGATGTGCTCTGTATTATCACTGGAAGGGAAAAAAGGGAAACGAGTATTAGGGTATAAACTTGAACCACGATGTATTTCCTGAACAGTACTGCTACATTTTTAAGGTTAATACATCAATTTCTTCATTATTTTCACAAGTGTGAAATTAAACAAACAAGCTTGCTTAGAACAGATCGTTCATTCCAGCACCAGTTCCAAAAAATAAGCTTTAGAAAATTCAGCATATTGCCCTCCAGACCCCATGGTCAGTCAGTCTCCAGACAGTCCACTGCCATGAAATTTCCTCACAGCTTTCCTACACACAGTCAAAGAAATTCCCTGTTCTTCTTCATGACAGAAAACACATTTCATTCAAGAGATGCTGCAGGGGTTAAGAAGAGTTTTGCCTCTAAATGGTCATACTTGTACCACAATAAAATTCTTCGAATGTTTCAACTTACTTTTCCATGTTAGGGTCTACATAAATCTTGTCCATTTCTGAAGGATGTGCTTCTCCTATAAAATACAGTACTGAAATCCAAAAATATTAATGAACCTCAGTAAAAAAATTGCCTACAACCACAACTAGATACTGGCCCTAGATGCTATAATTTTTCTCTCCATCTTTCTCTAGTCACGGGAATCAGCCTGAAGAAGAGAATCAGCCTGAAGAAGAGAAGGCTGCGAGGGGACCTAATATATACTTACAAATATCTGAAGGGTGGGTGTCAGGAGGATGGGGCCAAGCTCTTTTCAGTGGTGCCCAGCGCCAGGACAAGGGGCAACGGGCACAAACTGAGGCACAGGAAGTTCCGTCTGAACATGAGGAAGAACTTCTTCCCTCTGAGGGTGACGGAGCCCTGGCCCAGGCTGCCCAGGGAGGCTGTGGAGTCTCCTTCTCTGGAGATATTCAAGACCCGGCTGGACAAGGTCCTGTGCAAGGCCTCTCAAGTCCACGTTTTCTGTTACATATCATATTAAAAACCATCTGTGCTAACAGTTTGAGTTAGGTTGGTTAGTCGCTTGGTTGTGGCGGCCTTTTTATTACGTCCCAAGATTATGTCAACGCCGATAGCTCCCCCTAGCAGAGTGATAGAGGGGATTGTAAGAAACGTGAAACTATAACAAAAAAACCTTAATATTTTCTACTTTTTAGTAGTCTTTAGTACTGTAACTTGTATTCCTGCATGCATAGTGATCTAACGATGTAACTGTTCCACTAATCCCTGTTTTCTCATTAAGGAATGTAGTGGAAGGACATGGGCA